GAAAAATCGAACTTTAGAAGAAATGGCTAGAACCATGCTTTGTGAAAATAATTTGCCAAAATATTTTTGGACGGAAGCCACAAATACCGCTTGTTATATTGTAAATCGAGTAATGATTAGGCCAATTATAAAGAAAACTCCATATGAAATTTTCAAAAATAAAAAGCCTAACATTAGTTATTTTCATCCTTTTGGATGTAAATGTTTTGTTTTAAACAACGGTAAAGAAAACCTTGGAAAATTTGATGCTAAAAGTGATGAAGGAATTTTTATGGGTTATTTCTTAAATTCTAAAGCCTATCGTGTATTTAATAAAAGAACTTTAGTTGTAGAAGAGTCTATACATGTTTTCGATGATAATTCCCTTCCGAGGAAGGATTCTTGTGTGAATGATGATATAGGTGTTATAAATACAAATGACGTTAGACATGACATTGAAGAACCATCATCAAAGGAAGAAACGAAAAATGAGGAAACTCATGATCCTCTTGAGAATCTAACCATTGAAGAAAGGGAAGTATCTTATCCAAGAGAGTACAACTATGTCAAGGATGGTAAAATTATAGGTGATCCATCAAAAGGGGTAACAACTCGATCTTCTCTTAGAAATATTTGTAATTATGTTGCATTTATTTCATGCATAGATCCTAAGAATATTAAAGAAGCATTAAATGATGAACATTGGATTATGGCTATGCAAGAAGAGTTAAATCAATTTGAGAGAAGCAAAGTATAGACATTAGTTGAAAGGCCTAGAAATAAATCTACTGTAGGTACTAGATGGGTATTTAGAAATAAGCTTGATGAGAGTGGTAATATAGTGAGAAACAAGGATAGACTTGTTGCTCAAGGGTATACTCAAGAAGAGGGCATAGACTATGATGAAACATACGCTCCCGTAGCTAGGATGGAAGCAATTAGAATGTTATTAGCATTTGCATGTTTCAATTAATTTAAATTATATCAAATGGATGTTAAAAGTGCATTTTTAAATGGTTTTATAAAAGAAGAAGTGTATATGGAACAACCTCCAGGTTTTGAAGATTCAAATTTTTCGGATCATGTTTTAAAATTGACAAAAGCTCTTTATGGTTTAAAGCAAGCTCCTAGAGCTTGGTATGAAATATTGTCAAAATTTTTAATTGAAAATGGTTTTTCAAAAGGGAAGGTTGACACTACATTGTTTTTGAAGCATAAAGGTAAAGATTTATTAGTAGTTCAAATTTATGTTGATGATATAATATTTGGTTCTACTAATGATGTTCTTTGCCAAGAATTTTCTAAGCTAATGCAAAGTGAGTTTGAGATGAGCATGATGTGGGAGCTCTCATTTTTCTTGGGACTCCAAATCAAGCAAAGAAAAGATGGCATCTTCATCAATCAAGCTAATTACGTCAAAGATATGCTCAAGAAGTTTGGACTGGAAAATGGGAAACCTCATGACACTCCAATGATCTCTTCAACAAAGCTTGACTTAGATGAAGGAGGTAAATGTGTAGATTTTAAATTATATAGGTCAATGATTGGATCTCTACTTTATCTAACTACAAGTAGATCAGATATTATGTTCAGTGTTTGCTTATGTGCTAGATTTCAATCATGTCCTAAGGAATCACATTTACTAGTTGTTAAGAGAATCTTTAGATACCTTAAAGACACTCCTAGTTTAGGACTTTGGTATCCTAGAGACTCTAGCTTTAGCTTGCATGCTTTTTTTTATGCGGATTATGGAGGATGCAAATTAGATAGGAAAAGCACCTCTGGTACTTGCCAATTCCTTGGTAATATGCTAATTTCTTGGTTTTCAAAGAAACAAAATTGTGTTGCATTATCTACCACTGAAGCCGAATACATTTCAGCTGGTAGTTGCTGTGCACAAGTTTTATGGATGAAACAACAACATTTTGATTATGGAATTGAAGTAGGTACCATTCCTATCAAGTGTGACAATACTAGTGCTATTTGTCTCACTAAAATCCCATCCAACACTCTAGAACTAAGCACATTGAAATAATCACTTCATTAGAGACCATGTCACTAAGAAGATGTTAGTTCTAGAATTGTTGATATTTGCACCAATTAGCGGATATCTTTACAAACCTTTAGACAAGGAACGATTTTGGACACTTAGGAGAGAATTAGGTTTGACCAATCTATCTTCACTGAGTGTTTAAAAATTTTAGCACTTTTAATAATAAATGAAAATGCTTTAATAGTAATTTTGATTGCATTCATTGCTATTAGTTAGGGGGAGTTTATGATTCGTGATGAAAAATTAATTTTATGTTCAAATATCGTTAAAGATTAATTGAATTTTTTGAACATGATTAATTTTCAATATGAGTTGCCCAATACCATTAGAGGAAATTAATTTAGCATTTGGCTGTTTAAAATCAAATTTTAGCATTTTGGTGCAGGGAATCGATCCCCCCTTGAGGGAACCGATTCCCCTTTGAAGGGGAACCGATTCCCCCCACAGGGGAATCGATACCCTCCTGGGGTTCTGGTTAAACACGGGCAGAACCCTTATTTTTGTTCAAAACCCTTTTCTTCCTTCACGCTGTTTCTTACCTCTACTCTCTCAAATCTCCATTCTTGCATCAAATCAACGTTTTTAATCGGATTCACTTCAAATATCATCCTCTAAACCTGTTGGAATCATCAAAACGTGCAAACTTCATCTAATATCACTCAATCCGAAATCATTCAAGGTATTTTCCAAAACTTCTTATCAATTATTATTGTGTTTGATTAATTATGTGTTATTATGAAAACTATACATATATTGTTTCTCAAAACCATATTTTTCAAAAGTTTTTCAAAAACTTTGCCCATTAGGATTGATTTAGAGAACCTTGAAAATATTGAGGACTCAATTGAGTTTTGGGGTTGATTGAATTGCATACAGTGTTTTCTAAATTGCAGGTTATCAATTCTATTCCTATTTCTAAACCATGTCCAATCCTAAACGTGCTAGGTCTCATCTAGTCGTTCACACCGTAACCAAATCCACCTCCAAATCCATTCTATTCCAATTTCTAATCCTAATCCTATTGATCCTAATTTGACTATCCAAATTCGTGTTTCAATCATCTGGTCCTAGAAATCATCATTTTTGGTATTATCAATATTTCGACTTACAAAATCCGGGAAAGAACGTATTCTTCTCGAAGCTATGTTAGCTATCAATTTTAAATATCTTCCTCTTTTACAAGAGTGGAAATTTTGATAAACTCTTTGCCCTTGAACCATCGTTTACCATCACTTGTTCGTATTTTCTATTCTAATGCTGTTGTGTTAAAAACCAAAATGAACCGAAACCATAGGAATTCGTTCCTACCTTCTAGGATAATTCTTATATATTGACTCGGCTACATAGCCAATACATCGGATTAGATATGATGGTATTTCAAATGAAAAACAGGTTTTATGATCTCGTTATAAAAGAAGGGATAGTGCAAGTGTCCTAAACCTTCATGAACGTTTTCTTCATCTAATAATTTCTTGGTGGTTTCGACCATCCGGAGGTCGTTATTCTACTCTTAGAGCCTTCGATCTTTGGTGGTACATTGTTTCAAAAACATATTAAAATCAACCTACCTCAGATTATTTTTGCTGAAATGTTGAAACGTAAATCTTGTTCCTAACAAAAAACTGTTCATCTCTTGTTTACGATGCATTTGAGTAATTGTTTTCCAAAGCTGGGCTTAGAGTCGGTCTAGATGCCATTTTCCCCTTAAGAAACAAATTAACTTCTTTCCTTAACGAGAGCGGGATGGATTAAGGATAAGGAAACCGGTGAATGGGTCGATCTTCTGCAAATACTCTGGGAGCTAGTTCTTCACAAGCTCCACCCGAAGATCTTCTGCAAATACTCTGGGAGCTAGTTCTTCACAAGCTCCACCCGAAGCTGAAGAAGATCTCGAGCTTGAGCAATTAATGCAAGACATCGATGAAGCCGAAGATGAGCCTGAGCAGCCCGAAGAGCAAGCACAACAAACGAATCCAATGCCTCCATATTTTCAATCCTTTATGGAGACATTCGATTTTCGATACGTTACTATGGATTCGCGCTTTACTTCTATAGAGTCCCATTTATCCACAATGGGAGCTCAACAATTAGAAATTCTTCGGGAAATGCGTGCAAATAATGAAGCAACCAACGCACGTATTAATGACCTCACTAACGACTATGCGAGCTCGTTTTCCTCCTCCTGATCTGGATATGTGATTCAATGTTTTGCTTTGAACTCCAAACTTATTGTTTTAACATTTTGAATATTTTGGAATGTTTGAATTTGTGGATTGATTGACTTTGAATTTGTTTGGATTTATGAATGGTTAGAAATTATCTATTTGATGTGATTAAATTTATTCATTATTGCATCATTTACTTCATGATTAGATATATGACCAATTTTGCCATTTCACATTAATTATGAATATTGATTATGAAACTAATGGTTAACGTTTCTCTTGCTTGTGATCTTAGCAGCTTATATTATATATAATCAATTGGCTAACTGATTTCAAAACCTTGTTTAAATTCTTTAAAATGTCTTTTTGATTTAACAAAAAGGGGGAGAAGTGTTAAAGTGTTTTTAAATGATAAATGGGAGAAGTGTTAAAGTAAGGGGGAGTAATTTCAAAACTTGATTTCAAAATCTTAAAATTACTAAAATGTTTTGTTATATCAAAAAGGGGAGATTGTTGAAAACATTTTAATATTTCGATATAAAAAATTAAGTTAAATGAATTTTAAGATTTTCCAAATGATTTTCTAAGTATATTCGATAGAATTATTCGAATATCAAAACATTACTCTAAATCTTTCAAAGATCATTTTTAATCCTTACTCAAAGTGTAAAATTAAGTTTTAATCTTAAAACAATTTCAAAATAATTTTACAAAGAACAAGAGAGAAGTGATTCAAGGTGTATTTAAACAAGTTCTGAAGCCCTTGATCAACAAGAAATTATAGAGAAACAAGAGAGAAAGCATCAAACACCAAGTTTGTGCAAATCAAGCCAATTTTCCTTTCAATATTCATTTTGCTTTCAAAGAACACCATTTGTGCTCATTTGTAATTATTTGTGAGTGTTCTTTTCTTGTTCTAGAATTGTGCAAACATCTTACCTTGAGAGGTTTTCCTTGTAAGTTTGCAAATTTGTAATCTTCTCTTTGGGAAAGAGTGTTCTCAAGAATTGGGGTATATTCTTGAGGGTGTTGTAAGGTTATCTCTTTGGCCTCAAAAGAAAGAACAAATTAGTGAATTTGTTGGAAAATCCTTAGTGTAGATAGCTAAGGTAGTGGACGTAGACTTTGATTGAGAAAGTCGAACTACTCTAAATCGTTGTGCAATTACTTTCAATTTTCTGCAAAAGCTTCCACCAAATTTTTAATTTCCAATTCACCCCCTCTTGGCCAATTCCGTCAATCGATTAACTCAACAATAGGGAATTGGGGTAGGACATACAGTCCCTAGTTCGAGCATTTTAATGTTTATAGGTAGCATTTTTGTTATTTTGTTTTCGCATATATATAGAGGTGGACAGCCAGCAGAGTTTGGGTTGATCCACAGGTAAAGGTAAGTGTCTTGTGTAAACCATCGAGGGTCGCCCCTACGGCCTAGTCGATGGTGTTGGTGAGTCTTATGTAACCCAATGTTATTTTTCATTAATAAAATATTTTTCCCTTCGGAGAAGTTCGAGGTCGGTTGTGTGCATCCGCTATGCCTCAAGATCTCGATTCTTGGTCGAACGACCTTGTTGTTGTGAAGATCTAACCTGATGTGTGTTTGTGTTTGATCAGATATATGAGATTAAGGCCGACTTGGTTGGGAAGTGTCCCTTTCGAGTGTCGTATGGATTAGCAACTGAACCAACTAGGCTAAGTCTGTGACACCTTGGTGGTGCCAAGGTAGAGTAATCTGGTGCAATCTACATGGTATTTTATATGTTATATGATACGACATTATTACTCATATGACTCGGGTGTCTTAATGATACACGAGGTAGAGTAACTCAATGCATTCTACGAGTACTACTAGTAATAGTTTCGACTACATATTGGGCCTTGACTCATACGACTCACGTACCATAGATTTCTCATAATAGTACAGTGGACAATGATATGAACTGAAATATAATATTATAGATTTGATACATGTTTAAAGTGAAGACTTTTAATAATTGTTTTATTCTTATATTATTTCATGCATGATTTACTTAAATGATTTTTTATATATGATTGTTTATTTTATATGTTATTTATCTTATAAGTTGTCTCACTATGTGGAATACTTAGCGTGTGATTGGTTCAGACATAGAAAAACCGACGTCAGCAGAGTAGGGAGCCAGGCAGGACATCCTACATTTTTGGCAGACCAGTTCAGACATCCAGAATCAGTGTGACATCTTTATGATGTTTTTGATATTCAATTTTGGTATGTACATATTTTTATTTTGATGCTCTGATTCGAATATGTCTGAACTCTTTTTTATCATATGATGAATGAATAGTATTTTAAATACTTTATATTTTAAATACTTTATATTATAGTTATTAAATGCAATTACTTAATTTAGTGTCAATTTTAAATGAAACAAAATTTTACTAACTTTTAAACAGTATATTTTTTATACATTTGATGTGACACTTCTACCTCGTATATGGGACCGTACGGAATAGGGGTGTTACATTTTATGCCATCATTTTTTATCGTTAAAGAGAACGTCATAAACAATAATTATAAAATTGCTTTTATTAGAATTAAGCTTAAATTAACTGTTGCTCCTTAAGATATATCATTTATAATGAGTTGCCTCCTAAAGTATTTTTAGGATATTTTACCCCTTAAAATTTGAATTGTTATCCTGTTTGTCCTAAATCATTGGCTTCGTTTTAAAAAAAATCATTGACTAATCAAAACATGCCACATCATCCTATAGTTTTTATTTTTTTATCTAAATAAATGAAAATCAATAAAATAAAATATGAATTATCCCTAAAATACCCCTCTTTTATCACCTCCGCCGTCACTCTCTTTGATTTCTCCCCCAGCCATGATATCTCCATCTTTATCGAACACTAAGGTTGAGGAACAACGAAAGACAGAGCACCAAAACTTGAGAAATCCATGATGAATCCGATGTTTTCCTTCATACGTCGTGGCTACGGTGGTCGAAACGTTGAACGATCTCTCACTCTCTTCTTTATCCCACACCCTGAAGCAGTGCAACGATATAATAGCTCATAGTTTGTTTTTTTAATCATATATTAAATTCCCACAATTAAACTAAGGATCAGATTCAAAAAAAAAGATATAAGAGAAATAATTAAACCAAAAGTGGATTCATATATTTTAGATTAGATTTCAGTATATATATACTTTTTTTCATCTAAGCAATTGATTTCACCCTTGGTCATGAAGGCATCGGTTTCTATTGCCTCTTTTGATTATTTTTTTTGAGCTTCAACTTAAACCTATTAAATTTTTACTTAAAAATCAGTGAAAATAATTCAAAAAGTATATATATATATATATATATATATATATATATATATATATATATATATATATATATATAAGTATAACCCATTATTAAAAGTTTGTTCTGCTCATCATTTGCAGGTTGTTCATTGGAAGAAAAATGCTTGGTGTCGCGGGTTGTTTAAAATCTCGACAAAATTTTGTCGGGAAATCTTATATTCTCCATGGGATTCTCTTGCTTCTTCTTAATACAATTATTCACATATTCTCTTGCCTTTGATTGAACTGAAGAGAAAAAAGAAAATGGATAAAGATGGAGATATCATGGTTGGGGGAGAGATAGTGAACAAAAATGTTGGGGAAAAGGGAGGGGTTTGATGACGGAGGTGAAAGAAAAGAAGGGTATTTTAGAGATATTATTTATTTTATTTTTATTTAATTTTTTGTTATTTAATAGATAAAGAAAATAAAATTTATGGGGTGATGTGGCGTGATTTGATTGGTTAATGATTTTATTTAAAACGAAGCTAATGGTTTGAAGCAAACGATATAATTATTTAAATTTCAGAGGATAAAATTTCTCGAAAAATACGTTATAAGATAATTTTGTACAAATGGTAAACTTAATGAATCAAATTTAAGCCCTAAAATTATGTTCTGAAGAGCGACAATAGATTCAAGTCGAACTTGATTTTAAAATCTTTAAGGTTGAAGGAAAATGTTTGATAGGGTAAAGTGTGGCGGGGGAGGGGGGAATTGAAAGGGCAAACATGTCAATTCGTGTAGCAGACATTCTGCTACTGTTACCATAACTTGAATTGAAGAACAAAACCAAATTCCATATTTTCCTCTGAAAATTTCTCCCATTTCCCTTAATTTTCTTGCTAACCAAACACGCTCATCACCGATAGAAAGATCAAACTTATTTTGGCCTTCGTAGAAGGTGATTGCTTGGAGACGGTTGATCAATCAGGTTTCTTGCCCTCCCTCTTTTAAGATCCCCCCTTTCTTCGTAGGTGTTAGGATATCTTTTAAGATTCTTCGCTTCGTTCAATATATTGGATTTTTTATGATATGTTCTGAAATGTGGGGATTGTAGAAACCCTAATCTTGAATATCATAATTCTCGATTAAACATTTTATTCCGAGTTGGGTATTAGTACGGTAGGCGGTTGAAATTTGAAATATTCTATTTTAGTTTCCATTGGACCTGATGAAGATATTCATTTGCTTATGCTGAGTAGGATTGTGTGTGTTATTCTTGGTTATTAAAGCAGTAGTTTACATGTTAAACTGTGATTTGACTGTTTGTTCTTTAGATAAACAAGTGAACTTAATCTTCATCTTAAAACAGGTTTCAAGGCATCAATTATAGTTGGGACAATATGGAAGCTTGTTCAGTAGAACTCATCTTTCTGGTATTTTTGTTTCTATCATTGTCTTCATGGTTTTTTATGATTATTTTTCAACAAAATATTTGGCTTTCCCTTTCATTGTTGGCTTTCCCTTACATTGTTAGCTTTCCTTGTTCTCAACTCAAATATCACTTTGCCTAAGCTGAAATCTCGTTAGAGTGCAGGTACAGGACTTCTGAGTGGCCAACAAAGGTTTACGTCAAGCTATGTAGGCAATTTAGCTCGCAGGGTCCGAGGGGCATACGAGGCTAGTGAAGCTGCTCTCTTAAGAGAGCTTTACCATAAAAATGATCCTGAAGCAGTGATAAGGCTATTTGAAACTCAGCCATCATTACATTCTAACCGTTCTGCGCTTTCCGAATATGTTAAAGCATTAGTCAAAGTTGACAGGCTTGATGAAAGTGAGTTGCTTAAGACATATTTAGATACTTATTAGATTGAATAAGTACATTAGACCTAAAGAAATTATTTTGTTGTATCCCGGCTGATACCAACCCAAACCATTTCATGAATAAAATATGCCCAATTAACCAACCAGCAAAACTACTTGTTACAAATAACAATTTGAAAAGGTTCAAGTGTCCGAAATGAATTTCTAAATCCACGGATCTAGAAACATCAAATTTGTAAAAAAAAGAACAAATTCTTTTGGCAATTAGGTTAGGTATGATGAAAAAGTAAGAAAAGTCTTTTGCTTGTTTATATTCTTTCTCTAGGAATTACTTTTCTCACATTCAAAATATGTATATTATGAAGAAAACTATTTGTTTTTTTCTTTTTTTCCTTTTTTCAATCTAAATTTGATTAAATTGGAGGGGTGTAATTCTATTTCTATTATCATATTTAAATGTCATAGAATGGGTTCAAATTTAAATGTCACGGAATGAGTTTTGTTTTCTAAATTCAATTTGATTAGATACTAAACATAAGATAAGTAAGCGGAGAATATAAATGAAGGATAAATGAGGGGAACAAATAATTACTGGGAGTATTCTTCGTCCAACCAGGAGAAATATGGAATGAGCATGGGGTAATAATTCCATATTGATACGAACTAATCCATATGCTCCCATTTTTAATAAAATTATGGTTAGAAGCATACAAGTACTGTAATCGGCGATTTGACAGCAAAAACAATAAGAAATCCAATATAGAATATTCTTTCTAGTGCGACAGGATATGATTGATTAGCTAATGTTTCAAAATTTAATGTTGGTTCATTAGAACCGTATAAACCGATACCCAAAACTCCTATTAATAGAAAAATGGAACCCATGTAGTGTACAAAATAAATTTTGTAGCCGAGTACAGTCGTTTCTCCCTCCCTCAAAAAAAAAAATGGATAGAAGTAGATAAACGGGAATTAATTCGAACTCCCACATGATGAAAAAAAGTAAAAGGCCTCGAGTAGAAAATGATCCTATTTGACCAATATACATTGCTAGCATCAGGAAATAAAATAATCGTGAATCTCTAGTAACTAGCCAAGCCGCTAAAGTGATGATACGGATCAGCCCCTTATTCTTGCGCCAAAGATCTTACCATTTCCGAAGGAACTAGAGTTACATCTCTTTTTCAGTTCCATTCAAGAGTTCTTATGTGTTTCCACGACCCTTTAAGACCTCGAAATTTTGATAAATTCCTTTTCTTTTCTTAGGAACACATACAAGGTTCGTCACTACAAACAGGATAATGATAACCCCACAATTAATTATTTCATTTATGAATTTCATAGTAATAGAAATACATGTCGCACAATGGATTAGCAATTCGGCGCTTTAGTCCACTCAACCATCTCTCCTAATTGAGAAAAGATAATTACTATGTTACAGCACGTAAAAAAATGCTTGAAAAAGTCATTTTTTACTTTGTTATATAGGTTATATAGATTATTATTTATTTATATAGATTACTATTAATATATAATTATATTATTAATATATAAATATATAGATTCTTAATTTTATTATTATTATTTATATAAATTGATTATATAGAATATAGATAAATCTAACTTTTCTATAGATATATAAAGCGTCGTTGAATTGAATTAATAAATAAATACGCAACTCTTAAAAAAAGTTCACATGTTCTTTAGTTTTTCCAAACAAGAGAAAAGAAAAAAACCAAAAAAAACTATTAGACGCAAATATATATATAAATATATATAATTATTATCTATAATATTCTAAATTATATAATTAGATAATTAAATTAGAATTCTAATTTTTATATTTCTATATTTTCTTGCAATCGTGAATCTTTAATCTCTGTTAAACTATTATTAGGCCATTTCTTTCTGAACCAGTTCCACTCTTTGCATTTCTGATATTTGATTACTAAGAGATTGTGCAAAACTACAGGTTTATCTAATTCAGCGAGGGAGGAAGATAGTAAAGGTGGACTTTCAGCTTTGTGAAATGTGGGAAAATCTACAAACAATGATCTCCTAGGAACTGCTAGTGCTCCTATCCACATGGTGTCATCAAAATCAGGGAACTTTAAAGATCAATTGTGGCGTACTTTTCGTAGTCTTGCCCTTTGCTTCTTGTTGATTTCTGGTATTGGTGCACTTATTGAGGATAGAGGGATCAGTAAAGGTAGAATCTTTAAGTGACAAGTTTTTATCTTAAGTTTCTACCTGGGCTTTTTTTTTTCTGAATTATGACCGACTATACCTTGTTTTAGGACTTGGTCTACATGAAGAGGTGCAAGTTGTGGAATCGAACACAAAATTTAATGATGTCAAAGGCGTTGATGAGGCGAAGGCAGAGTTATCCTAAAGTAAATGCTCTTTTGTATTTGTAGCTCTCTCTCTCTCTCTCTCTCTCTCTCCCCCCCCCCCCCCCAATAAATTCGTTTTCCCTCCTTGCAGCGTTTCACTCGTCTTGGTGGCAAGCTTCCAAAAGGTGTCTTGCTTGTTGATCCACCTGGCACAGGGAAAACTATGTTAGCAAGAGCTATTGCTGGAGAGGCCCGGGTACCGTTCTTCTCCTGCAGTGGCAGTGAGTTTGAAGAGATGTTTGTTGGTGTTGGAGCTCGAAGAGTGAGAGATCTTTTTGCTGCTGCAAAGAAGAGATCACCATGTATTATATTTATTGATGAGATAGCTGCCATAGGTGGAAGCCGTAATCCAAAGGATCAGCAATATATGAGGATAACACTGAATCAATTGCTCGTTGAATTGGATGGATTTAAACAGAATGAAGGAGTTGTTGTAATCTCAGCGACTAATTTTCCAGAATCATTTGATAAAGCACTGGTGAGACCTGGACGATTTGACTGTCGCATTGTTGTTCCTTATCCAGATGTTGAAGGACAGAGGCAGATTATGGAATCCGGCGATTTGACCTAAATATCACCCTATAATCCTAATATGCCCTAAATAATACCCTTTAACCAATATTTCCCTAATTAACACCCTTTCGTCTGAGGTGGCACTAAGGTGCGCTCTCGATAATCTGCTTTAGCGGGATTTGCTTATGTGGACATAAGACGCGTTTTCGGGAAAGCTCTTTCCAGCTGATGTGGTGCCACGGTGGAAAGAGCGTTTCAGGAGACGCACCTTTCCTTTTATATTTTTTAATTAGGGTAAAGATTTAGGGTTTATGGTTTAGAGTTATTATAAATTAGTAATTTATTATGTAAAGTGTTTCGATTATGATTTAAGAATTGTCGAAGGTATTTTAAAATTTTGTATTTAAGGTGGAGTGAATTTAGGTTAAAGTGTTATATGTTTCATTAAGGTGAAAGTGGTGAAGGATTTTGTAGGTCAAAAGTTCATTAAGGTTGTGTAGGTTAAAGTGCTTTAGGGTAAGATTCGATTAAATTGAAAATGTTAATTACTTGAAGTAAGAGGTAAGTGGAAAATTTAGGTAGAAAATAGACATACATTGGAAAATTATAGAAAATGCAATTACATTTAAATATTATAAACAAAGACATTCATTGAAATAGAAAATGCAATTACATAAGGGTTAACGGTTAAGTGATGATAATAGAGCTGGACATTTTTTTCTTTTGTGCCCGATGTTTCTTCAATGCTTACATCTTTTTTGTTCTATTGAATGTTCACCCCTCGTGCTTCCGCCAAAAGTAGAAATGGCTTTCCGTTTTCATTAAACCACTCCAGATAGTTATCCGTAACCATATGACCAGTTTCAGCATAAAACTGTCGAGGGGGCAAGAGTTCATACCGGTTCTCCCAAATCGCAATCCAATCTCTGTGTTTCACCACCCAGTTGACCTCTTTCCTTACTCGTATGCCTATGTTATGCATGTTGTCTAAATTCATAGGTGCTCAAGGAATATATTGCGTACAATAAAACTGATGGAGCACAAGATCAATCGGATGCCACTCAACAATAGCATAACATATAAGAGGTACAACTGACATCCAAACATCTAATGACCTACTCAGGTGGGGTGGGATGCAAGCCTTTACTTCATCGCTCGCATAAGGTATCCACTGAAACTGAAACATAAATATATAATTCTAATAAATATAATATTCTAATTATATCAAACATTTTAAATTAAATTATTTATATTTGAAGACGTACATCAGACCCAGCTTTTTGATCCATAATTAAACAGATTTCCTCTAGTTCACTAAGGATATCTCTATGATTCTTTCTTTTCATCGACCACCTATGAAATATAATATAAACTAAATATCACCCTATTTAATTAAAAATATTTAAATAAAAAATTAGTTATGAAATTACCTCAATAATAAGGGGAATACATATGGCTCATTAACGATCGGGCATAAGAAAGGCATGCAAAACCACGCCCATGATTGGAGAAGCAGGAAACATCCACCGATAGCAGTTTTATTATAATTCATTGCACGACACATTTCTCTAAAGAGAAATGACAAAACTGCAGCGCCCCAACTGTATCTTCCTGCTTCATCAAAATCAATAAGATGACGCAACCACATACAATGCACTTGGTTGTGAGATTTGTTGGACATCAATATTCCTTCAATGATTCGTAGTATATAAGCACGAGCACATGCCCTTTGCTTCATCCTGATAAGCATTTTCATTAAAAACTTCAAAATTGACTTTTAACCATGATAAATATATTCTACCTCCATTGAAATATGACGGAGCAACTCCAAGATACTCCATGCATATTGAATGTCAATCACCATCGGCTACACCACACATAATATTTCCGTCAACGGGAAGCCCCAAATGCATTGAGACATCCTCCAATAATTGTACACTCTCCACATGGAAGATGAAATGTGTGTGTCTCCGGTCTCCACCTCTCAACTAATGCGGAAATTATGATGGGTTCGAGTTTGCAACCGCCAATAACTTTCGCAATATACTCGAACCCGGCGGAAGAAAGATATGTCCAAATATGTGTTGGTGTCGGTATCTTCGTGTTTTTAATAAATGT